ACTTTGCACAGTAGAAACAAAAACTTTCTTTTCATGCGCGTCGGAAAACTTTTTAAGACTTTTTATCGGAACAAACATGATGACACATATTTGCAGCCTGATACCTATTGATTCACACAGGAATAAACATAACTGCCCAGAAACCTCGCTCACTTAGTCTGTCATAATATGAGGCGAATATTTACAGCCTCGTGTAAAATCGTCCTTCTTCTTTTTCCGTCTTCTTCCGTTAGAGGTAACACCAAATCAGATAGAAGTTCCCGTTTGACCCCTTCGCAGTCAGCTCTTTTTCTTTTGGTAGAATAAATTTAGTCATGAAGAAAAATGTACCTTCACACCTCATTAATGTTTTCTGAGTTACAGGTCAGTTTTTGATCCCACATAACTGCACAAGTACAGAAGACAGCCACAGGAAATCTTCAGAGATGAAAAACATCCATTTAAATGACACGTTTAAAGAAACAAATTGCAAAAAGAGCAAAAGTAGTTTAATCAAAGTGATATGAGTATGAATGTCGCTGCTCCATTACACAGCCATAAGCTACTTTCATGAGTTTTAAAATTGGATTATTATATATGATGAAATGATCTGGATACAGTTGATGAACTGTCACACATATGCTAGAACATGCTTTGATCAGCCACCTATACTTTTACCCAAAATGCACTTTTTAAACTTTCAATAATCAGAAAACAGATCAACATCTGCAATATTAAATTGGAGCATTTTTGTTATTAAAGCTATAACACATCCCCTATAGCTCTCCCTCGATGTTTATTGATTCTCAAAGTTGCTTATTGAAAAATTCACACTGAACAAAATTCAGGTTGGCTGTAAAATAGATTTGGTTGCTTGGAGCTGAAATGGATTTTTCCACCTTGAAAATGTCATGTGGGCTCAAAAACGCTTGGGAAAAAAACAATGGCAATAATCAAACGGAAAACTTCATCCCACCCGTCTGCACTTTGAGGAAAAATATTTATGGCCTATTTGTAAAATTTTGCATGACTTCATTAAATATACTAAAGTTACTGTTTAAAAGAAATCATGTGATGGTGAGGGGTCAGGTGGGAGTCGCTGATTAAATGATTATCAAATCATGCTGGGATAATGTGAGTTATCAGGCTTCAACAAGCTTAGACTGAACATTAAGCTTCTCATATATATTGAAATATTTTCTAGTAAATTCAAAACTAATGCAAAAAAGAAGCATTTTCACTCCCAGCCTGAGATTTGTGGATGTCACTGCAGCTGCTGCGAGTTTAGGGTTGCCCCAAAAAGTTGAGCCGCACATTTAAAAAAAATAATTTACCTCAAGTGTCACGCTCCTCACCTCATGCAAATGTGAGTTTGAGACCTGCGCATGGCAGTAATGGATTTCCAAAGCACACGAGTAGCAATATTTTGGCAGAGGAAACCTTCTGACAGTGAAGCAGAAGATATTCTAGATGTTTTCTTACTGGTATACTTATAAAAAATACACAGAAGTTATGTCCCAGTGGAATCGTTTTATAGTTAAGCAGTGGATTTATTATTCTTAACAGAATCCACTCCGCCCCGATACTCAGGCAAGATAGATTTCTCTAATAAGTGAGATGCTGCAGAGTGGAGAGAGCTGCTGCAGGACAAATTATGTAATGATGACACTGTATCTAAGTTAGTCCTTTTTACTGCCTGATGAACTACATTTTTCTAGCATACTGGCCAACATTCATGCTTCCATAAATCACGCTCTTTCAAATAATCCTGGCCGGCACTTCCACCACAAAAGGAAAAAGTTGCGCGCTGAAAAAACCGTACCGTATATCTGAAACAGATCTTGGGAATCCTATTTTCCCCGATATCTATTTTTCAGCACATCGATTTGGATTTCTGCCAGCGTAACACGTGCTCCGCAGGTGGAGGCGAATGTAATCTGTCTATTGTTAAAAAGGAAACAGTATTTTTCCACTAACACGTCTACCAGGAGGAAAACAGGCCATTATTCTGAAGGATACCCATTGTGCAAACTGCAGACACACACATTTACAGTACAAGGCGCCTCATTAAAGCAGCTCAGCAACATGTTACAGCACTCATTTCTCCAATGCAGCTTTTTCAGGCTGTGCCTCAGCTAATGTCTTCTCCCAATGTGGCATTTGCCACCATGAGGGTTGTTAACAGTGCACCGTCCGATGCTGTCGCATCTTGCCTGTGTTGGCTGCAGGCTTACGGAGGGAAACAGCATATAAAGTTCACAGCTGAATAATTGATGGTGTGTTGGATGGGTCACGGGTGGCAGCGAGGAAGAGGAGGTGGAAGTGGAAGGCAAATGCCAGTAGATGATCACTGCACTCATGTCAGCCTGTGAGGGCTTGTTAGCAGCTGGATCTGAATAGCTCTCTGCTACATGGAGATATCCAGATAATGAGATTTGGGTAATGAACCAGGGTTATATAATAGTCATATTCCATCGCCCAACTACAGAGAGATTTTAATTTGGCCCGGAGAAATAATGGTCTTCTTCTCAATCATTGCAATGAGTAATTTTCAAAAGCTAACGCTAACATTACATTGCAATTAGAGCACTTACACAAGAAAGGCAAAAACAAGACCATAAAATGGAATAAGAGTGAAGTCAGTAATCCAATAATGCTTGAAATCGGCTAAAAGTGTCGCCACCGCCGCCACGATTTTCGGAGATTTCAGTTTAGATAATAAGCTGTTAAGTTTTAGCTCTATCATTGCTCAAATGATTCAAAGACATCGAATGATCTCCCAAAACATCAAACATTCATCTGAAAGAGAGACACAAGTAAAAGCCAGCTGAGGCCCGATTCTACGTGTGTGTTTATCATCCAAAAGGTGCGAGTGTGCGTGTCTCTGTGTGTCAGAGATACCGACAGACTGTGCTGAATGTGAACAGAGGGTTCAAACAGCAGGTGTGCCGAGCGTCCAGCCTCCCTCTCATCAACACCAGCTACATCGCCGTCACCACGCTTCTCAGATCGAGATGAAGGCAAATAAGATCAGGCGTGATTGATGCTGCTCGCCACGTTTAGCGCTGATTTCTTAAAGCGGCTTCGGTAGCATTTTTAGACTTGATTGTGGAAGAGAAGGCAGAGCTGGCAGAGGTGGTTACAGATCAGAGTTACACGTTACTTGTGTGCTCGTCTGGCAAGCGTGGAGTGATCGATTTGCAGGTCAAACAGCATCGAGGCATAGGTTTTCTTAGGGTGAAATTATAACATTTTTCAGCTTATTCAACAGCTTTCGAAAGACTGTAATTCAGAGGAAAGGCCTGAAGAATGTCCTGCTTATACCTCGCATAATGATTTTTTCAGTCTCTCTCTATATAATCTACTGCTTATTTTCTCTCTTAATCTTCTGGTCTGTAAAATGTCAGAAGAGGTGAGCAGCTTTCCTGAAGCCATGACATGTCTGGTTTTGTCAGACAATCAGCCTGAACCCACAAAAATATCCTTATTAAAGATAACAAAAAGAAGCAAGCCTTCACCCGAAACGGGCGTTTTACCTGTTTTGGTATTTTATATAGAAGTGCAGCTACAAAAATGAAAGAATATGATCTTCATGAAGAGGTTTGTTGCATTAAACTGAATTATCCCAGATCTGTGATTTAAAAATCCGATATTCTGATATATCAGTCCATTTTTTTCTTTCTAATACACAAATCACAAAGAATTTCCAACATTTGTTACGTGAAGTTTTGCATTTACTTGCGTAGCGGCTGCCGGACGCTGCTCAGATCGGTTGTTGCCTTTGTGGCATTCCACACACGCAGCTGCCACAAGGACGCTGCAGAGTTCCCTCTGGGCAAACAATGCAATGTCAATACTCAAAAGGTGTTTCTCTCATCTCTTCTTTCCTTTTCAGTTTTTGTTTATCAGCTGTTATAAATACAGATACTCATAGATTGGCGCATAGCTATTATTGGCCAATAATATCAGCCTGCTGATAAATTGCTTGGGCTCTACTTTTCTGTAATGGAGATTTACTTGCAGTCCTCCAAAATGCCAACAGCATACAACTCAGTGTCGCTTAAATTACATTTTACTGTTAAAAAAAATAACACTGGTGCTACTGTCCATTGCTACCTCGAATTCTGACCTCAAAACAACGCCTCCAGCATTGCCCTCCATCACGGCTCCTTCTCAGTGCAGAAACCATCCACCTTCTCTGAACCTCTCAAATACAGCGACGACCAAAATTGTCAGAATCAGATCGAGTTCAGATCAAAACTCCAAGTTCCTTCCGGTCTCTTGTGTCTTTCTTAGTTCCAGCACTTCCCTTCTTCCTCTTGATTTCTTTGGGCCAGTTCCACAGTCGAGGCTGATGTTCAGAAACACCCGCTGCTTGAACTCGGGGAAAAGCTCATGTTTCACTCTAATCTAAGCTGCTGTTAGCAGTTGATTTCTGAGTTCTGCTGTGCAGCAGAGGGAACTCTGTGGCTTCGTTTCCTGCGGTTATCCTCAGGAGAGCCAGTTTCATCACAGTGTTTGATGATTTTTGTGACTGAACTTGAAAAAACCTTCAGTCCTTAATGTTTTCCAAATAATTGACCTTCATTTCTTAAAATAGGCTAATGATGGACTGCTGTATCTCATTAAGGGACCAGGACTGTTTTTTCCATGCAAACACTACATCAGCACAATATTCAATCATTCAGGAGGAAAAAGTTCCACCTGTTAACCTTTGAAAAGGTTCAGCTGTGAAGTGGTACACATTCGAAATGACAAACTCATGAAGCTGGTTAAGATACTGACAAATAGATGCAAAGTGGTCATTGAGACAAATGGTGGCTGCTTATCTTGGTGCTGCCTCTGAGACACTGTTGTTAATCACATAAAGCCAGACGCCCCCAACCC